GCCACCACAACCACCGCCAACATCCGCCACCGCCACCACGACCACCGCCACCACCACGACCACCACCGCCGCCACCGCCGCCACCGCCACCACCGCCGCCACCACGACCACCGCCACCGCCACCACCGCCACCACCACCACCACCGCCGCCACCACGACCACCGCCGCCACCGCCACCACCGCCGCCGCCACCGCCACCACCACCACCGCCGCCACCACCCACCACCACCGCCGCCACCACCACCACCGCCGCCACCACCGCCACCACCACCACCACGCCGCCGCCACCGCCACCACCGCCGCCACCACCACCACCACGACCACCGCCACCACCGCCACCACCACCGCCACCACCGCCGCCACCGCCACCACCACCACCGCCGCACCACGACCACCGCCACCACCGCCACCACGACCACCGCCACCACCGCCACCGCCGCCACCACCACCACCGCCGCCACCACCGCCACCACGACCACCGCCACCACCGCCACCGCCCACCACCGCCACCACCGCCGAGCCTTGGCTAAAACCTCCCTCAAGCTGCGCGGTCGCACCTCCGATTAGCGCGGTTGACTACGGACGGTGCGAAAGATGTTTCTATACGCAGGGGATCATCGATTATCAACACACAGGAGATAATCGATTATGGACACACAGATAATCGATTAACCACATGCAGTCGATAATCGGTTATCGACATATATTCGGCCATCGATTATCAATAGACAGTAGATACTCGATGACCTACATACAGTAGATAATCGATTATCCGGCGGCTTCGGTGGGGGGGGGGGGCAGACAATCACGACATTGTTATAATTTAAAACTGCTTATTTTTTGCACATTCCGTTAATGCAATTATGTTTGTATGTGTTGTTATATGTTTTTTCTGTGTTTTAAATTAGTTCACTGCATGAAATTCGCATAAACATATAGAAATAGACAAAAATAAAGCTCCTTTAAAAAGTGTACGCATCTGCTGAACCGTACTTGGCACTCCATGCTCGAAGACGCTGCGTGAAGGGGCGACGTATCCGCATGCAGTATTGACACTGTCCAGGCGGTACGAGGTGTCACGTCCCGCCTGTAACATTTGACACTGAAATCGAGCAGAGCCACTGCTCTGTGTCGTGGCCCACGATCGCCGGACTGGCCACGCAGCCCTCGGGAGCGGTTTCGCCGGATCAGTCCAGGACCGCCGAGTATCTTCGGAAGCAATAGCCGGATAATTCATCGATGATCGATGGTACATACGATTTCACTGGCAATCACCTGCCGGTGCATTTAGCCACCGAGTTTGTGTTACATTCACTCGTCCGCCGTGTCCCCTCTGCACTCCCGCCTGACTGCTGCACCGCAGCCCACGGTGGAACTCTACACCAGCAGCAGCAGTGCGACTCACAGCCTCCTCCTGCTGCTGCTCTCTACACCAGCAGTGCGACTCACGACTCACAGCCTCCTGCTGCTGCTCTCTACAGCAGCAGTGCGACTCACAGCCTCCTGCTGCTGCTGCTCTCTACAGCAGCAGCAGTGCGACTCACAGCCTCCTCCTGCTGCTCTCTACAGCAGCAGCAGTGTGATTGACAGCCTCCTGCTGCTGCTCTCTACAGCAGCAGCAGCAGTGCGACTCACAGCCTCCTGCTGCTGCTGCTGCTCTCTACCCCACGGTATAGTACTATAATAATAGAGCAAGTGCAGAATCACTGAACCGGAGTTGATAGATTAAAAGCATTTAGCGCGGGGCCCTTGAAAGTGCGGGGCCCGTAGAATATGAAGCTACTACACATGTAGCTACACATGCAGCTACACGTGTAGTGCCTGAAAGTACGCGTCACGCGCAGAGGTCGGTGTGCGCACACGCGACGTACAGTGGGAGCAAATAAGGACACGGGGCGCTGATTGGCTGGTCGTTGTTGTTGTCGGGATGTGGGGCCGCGCTGTCTGAAGATGGTAGCAGGTGGCAGGGAGTAATTAAGGACGCAGGGCGCTGATTGGCCGAGAGGGTGTTGTTGTCGCGGAGTGGCGCCGCATTGTCTGGAAAAACATTCGGGGGGGCTGGGGGCGAGTGGCGTCACGGGGGCCCCTGATTAATTGGGGATTAATTGGCTGGTGATAAAGACAGGGGTTTTTGGAGAAGACGGGAGTTCGCGCCTGGGAGGAGACAGAGGATGGAAGAGTCGGAGCAGCAGAGCTAATAACAGTATAGGGTAGCAGTGGAGAAGTGTAGGGTGGCAGTGGAGAAGTGTAGGGTAGCAGTGGAGAAGCGTAGGTAGCAGTGGAGAAGTGTAGGGTAGCAGTGGAGAAGCGTAGGGTAGCAGTGGAGAAGTGTAGGGTGGCAGTGGAGAAGTGTAGGGTAGCAGTGGAGAAGCGTAGGGTAGCAGTGGAGAAGTGTAGGGTAGCAGTGGAGAAGCGTAGGGTAGCAGTGGAGAAGTGTAGGGTAGCAGTGGAGAAGTGTAGGGTAGCAGTGGAGAAGCGTAGGGTAGCAGTGGAGAAGCGTAGGGTAGCAGTGGAGAAGTGTAGGGTGGCAGTGGAGAAGTGTAGAGTAACAGTGAGACGATGAAGAGTAGGAAGCGGCTGGAGTGTGGGAAGAGAAGCTGATGCAGCTACGACGGAGTGGGACGGCGGAGCTGATAAAGAGCAGCCGAACTGTGGCAGAGAGAGTGGAGAGGAGAGTCGACGGAGGAGTGAAGGGGAGCGAGTGAGGCCGGCGGAACGCGGCGAGCGAGCGGAGAGCGCGGAGGAGAACATTGGATCGGTGTTAGCGGGAGGAACGTTGAGCGATGTTGGATGGAGGAGTGTTGATCGAAATACGCGAAATAAAGTGAAGAGGAAAGACAAGAAGCTGTCGTGTCGCAACCTAAAGAGACGTTGACATTGGCTCCGCGCCTCAACAGTCGTTCGTACAATTACCCCTAGGTCTGTGAATTATCGTGCACGTTATAAATCGCATCATTACGAGCAATCACATGCTTAAGCAGCCGAACACTTATTTAGTCTTGTTCAATGAAAATATCCACAAGTTTTTTTTGTTGTTGCCAGACTCGTAACATTTACGAGATATAGGCAGCGACGTGGCCCCTGCGGTTGCGCGCCTTCGCGATTTTGTTCCAGAGGTTCGCGGTTCAAGCGCAGTTGGCCGGTCTCGTGATTAAAGCTACATGTTACATTAATTTTTATTTATTTATAGTGGATAAAAACAATCGTACTACGCGCCATCGGCTTCGCGGTGGACTCTATCCCCTGGCATTTGTTCGCAAGAGGAGGCCAGCGTGTGTGTGCCAGCTTTTGCAGGGTACGTGACAGACAACCTTTGACAAATTTGTGAAACTTGGTCCATTTGAAAGCCACTGCGAATGACTCGATTGAAATCTACCCTACACAGCGACCATCGCCACCCATCCCCTCCATCACCCACCGTGCGAACTTGCCGAGGAATCCTCCTGGAGCACGAGTCGCGAGACTCGGTACGGCTTTCGTGGCCAAACAAGAAAAGTGTTGTCGTAGAAGGAATAATGATACATTATTGCACGGTTCAGTAGTTTGGTTTCATCGAGAGAGGCACTTCTGCACATCTGGTTTTATTTCTTCCCGCGTTTAAAATTATTGACCCCGTGACCCCGAGCTATGCTCATGCATACTGTGATGAGTTAATGTCGGTTGCTTTGGGAATTAAATGGTTTTAAATGTCGCAGCGAAAGTACAAATTTGCTGTGGATATTTTACGAGCCAACGTTTTAAATTGTGTATTATTTATATGCACTGTAATTATGTCCGTATGCATTGGTGTACATATACCGTGTGTATGTAATGCAGAATGTGGGTTCGTGCATGTGCTGGGAGACGATTAACAATTTAATGTACAGTACGTGTGTACGAGTGCATTTTGTTTACAGTGTAAAAGCGTGTTTATGTATATTTGTGTCTTTATGCATGGCCACCCACGCATGCTGATGTCTATAATCGGCTGTGGCGTGACCTGCCGCTTCTTGCAGAGTTTCGAGGTTCGAGTCTAGCGGCTGCCCTGGTCAACACCGTGGTGTGCGGTAGCCATAATCACACTACGCGCCGTCTGCTTCACTCACGGCGGACGCTCAACATCCCCTGACATCATTCGCAAGAGGAGCACGGTTGGCTACGCACGGTTCAACATACAAATTCAAACATCACACTGCAAATTATTCACCCGGGATTATACACGGCAATCATCGCCCCCCTACTGGCAGACTATTGCCTCAGATCATTCTGAGACACTCATCTTGGTTCAACAAAATTAACGTGAAACTTGTTGAGGTGAATTCACTGCGGTGATGATATATTTATGAAGGATAAATATGCAAATAGGTATACTTAACAAAAGGAGCAATATACCCCGTATGTACTTGTATATTTGGGGATGGAGTGGTCAAGGTGGGTTGATTGGCCATACCTCACTACACTGGTCAGCGCGGGTTGATGAAGCGGGGAGGCCTAAGACTGGGCACCACGGCAAGGTGTTAACTACCTCGCCTGGTATACAGGAGCGCGTGGGTTCGATCCCGACCCTGCGCCTGCTGTATATTTGGAGTTTGTATATTCTCTCCCCGTGGTCGTGTGGATTTTTCTCTGGGTCCTCCGCTGATCCATCCCCACATTTAGAATCAACGTGCGTTTAGAGTATTTGGCTGTTGTAAATTTCCACGTGATAAGCCACTTCGTTGAGCTATCATATGTGGCCAGGTCGCTTCTGAAAAAGAGCTACATAGCTCAGTGGACCTTACCTGGTAAAATAAAAAGTTAAGGTTCAGGTATCGATCACCTCTAGCTCTAGCCGTGGCTCGGAATCAAATAGGGTTCACGGGGTTGTAGTCCAAAGCGCCAGGGCTCCTCCACAAACCAACTCACCTCGGATAAATTATCTGCAATTCCTCAGCTGCATTATCGCAGGCCCGTGTGTGTGCTGCGACAGGCTCGTTCACGAGCGGGCGGTTTTCAAATTCCCCACTACAGGTGCAGGCAATAGAAGCCGTGTAATTTAAGATGGGGCGAATGCAGCTGTAGAGCTGCTTTAACATTATTGGCCCCATCTGGAAGAGCGGAATTTACAAATTTACACGCCGACCCAGCCCCCTGCGCCCCCCACCCTGTATGCCTCTACCTGCCTCCACGGGGCAGTGCGGATTGATGGCAGCTTCCAGACACGGCCTGGCTCGAGTGTTGACAGTGAGAATACCTCATCGCGGCTGTGCCGTCTCACAGCCTCCCTCGTCGTGCGCGTGACGTGCTATTGCGCTCCAGATGGGTCTCCCGTGCAGGTGTGCCGGCAGGTAAGACATGCCTCCGATGGACTACGGCCTGTCTGGATGTCACCTGTGTGAAACGTGCAACGCAAATTGTCCGAGTCCAGGCCATGCATCTCGGTTGTCAGTACCACGTGAGGGTGGCATAGGTTTAGTGGTTCTAATCTCTTCATTGCGGCCATTAACAGTGAATGACGTGATAACCATTTGACATGAGTGGGAATTTCAAATCATTGTCGCCATGCAACCCAACCTCTGGACCGCACAGTAAGCCACCGTAGTCTGGGCTCCTTCGACGAAAGAGGAGGATTAGCAAAACGACACGAACGAACTTCCTGCTGAAGCCCCCTCGCCGTGGCCGGCAGACCTCGACATTGGCACTCATTGCCGCAAGACGCCAACATAGAATAGAATATAATCAGTAATTCACTCGTATTGGCCATGTGAAAAAAAAATCGACATGGCTATCAATGTTGCTGCCTTAGGTGGTACCAACATCTGCTCCAGCCCATGGGCCAAAGAGCCGAACGACGACCTGGTCGAGCCACATCGGCCTGGCGCGTAATCTACCAAAAGCAATTGCCACCACTTCATGCATATTGTGGCATTGTCAAGCAACCGTAGCCCAGCATCCTATAACACCTGTTATGCATGGTGGTCTCCATCCAAGCGCTGTCCATGCTCAACTGTGCTTAGCTTCTGATAAGGTAATGATTTGGTTGTAGGCATATTGTAACTCATCCGTTTTTATTGTATTAGTTTGAAATTTATTATGCCCATCGTTGGTTTAGCTTAAGACTGCTGATCTCAGTAAGGCTTTTCTGGATAAATGAATAACACCACATACTTTATTCTGCTGACACAGAGAATAAAGAAATAAGCTCTTGGGCAGGTGAGAGCTGGATTGTTGCATAACAGGACCATGAGAGATGGCAATGGGTTCGGGAGACCTTCATCCAGCAGTGGATCGACCATGGCTGCTCGATTTTGAGTCATCCCCTTGCAGCGGTCAACCGAGGTTGTTTGAGCATACTTCTTCACATGCTGGTCAGTGCAGGTTGGTGAATCAGATAGTGCATGATGATGAATCGTTACTACACCCAGAACTATATTGGTCTGTCCATATTCCTTTCAACATTACCCAGGTCTAACTTACAGCACAGATGTATCATCACAATGGGCTCTCGCTTGGCTTGGATAAATAAATGAAGACCTCCCCATACCGTGTCGGTCACGGGGCTTGTTTAGCTGTACTTGGCGCTCGCTGGATGAAGAGGGATTTTAAGGTTCTCACGATTAATTATCGATTAGTTATCGTTCGCCACTGATGTTAGTTGTGGCCGGGAATCGAACTCGGGACGCCTGGTTCACCGCGCAGTGCTGTAACCACTGCGCCACCACTCCACAGGAAAATAGCGTGCGTGAGAATACATGTACAAGAGCATTTGGGTCTGGGGCTTTTCATACGGCGATGTCGGTCTGGACCATGGCGGCGTTTGGGCACTAGGTGTCACTGCAGCAGTAGACAGAAACTGGACCGAGCGCTGTGACCGAATTGCGCCTCCAACAGGGAGGAGTGCTGTTGCCTTGGAGCAGGGGCCAGCAAGCTGCGCCTCCGGGGCTGCATGCAGCTCATTAAGGACTGCTGCTTCGTGACGTCATTTATTAAGGACCACCGTTGCGTATTCACATTGCATTGTGGCTCTTGAAATAGAGGATTTTTTTTGCGAATTCGAAAAGAATGGCTCTTGTTATTTTGGATGCTGACTCCTACCTGGGAGTTAATGGTCAGCACGGGCAACAATTGGCTGTCACTGCCGCAGTAGACAAGGCAGCCTCTGATGAGAAGGGGTGGAGGGCACGCGAGGGGACAGCACGTCCGGGATTGCCATCCACGCTGTCCAGCTGTCCGTGGTCGGTCGGTCGCCCCTCCGAGCACTGGCCAGGCTGAGGCTTGCTGAGCCCCTGAAACCTAACGAGATGGGGCACATTCCAGGCGATATGATTCATAGGTCGCGAAAATGAATGAACGAATGAACGAATTTCAGCAACGAATACCAAAATATGCTCGGTGCGTGCAGGTACAGGCGTGGCATCGTCGCCACCGCGGTGAAACTGACATCAATAGGTGCGGCTCGTCCCGGAGTAGAGACGGCGTCGGGCGTGACTCGCCCGGCCCAAACCTCACCGGTTTAATCCCTCATCCTGGCCCTAGGCTCTGCGCTTACCACAAGCACAACAACAAATGGCACAACAGCATCGAACGCGGCCAGACAGCCAGCCAGCAAAACAGACGGACAAACCTGGCAGACAAACCTGACAGAAAGACAGTCAACCTGAATGCAGGACAGCCAATGTAGTCAACCAGACGAGACAACCAGGACAGCAGCCAGAGAAGCAGCTGGATGGAGAGAAACAACGAGATGGCGGGCAGCTGGTGTTAGCCAGCCGGTTCGCCAGCCAGGAGTTTGTGCCATTGTATTTTCAAAGAATGATGGTGGCCATTGTGAAATTGGGTCATTGTCAGAATGCGCAACATGAATAAGTCATCCGTCCCAGGCGAATACGAACAGAGAGGATTCTTGTAAACAAACAGCATGCGGCTCAGATCCCACTCTCCAGCCATGCTGCCCCACACATCAACAACAGATGAGAGCTGGCTGGCCGAGAAGCCACCCGGCCGGCCAGCTCTCCTGTATGCTGTTGACGTGTGGGGAGATGTGGCTGGAAAATTGTGCAATTGTGCTGTGCAGAGAGCTGACCAATGTACAGCTGTGTCAAGGTCAGAACGTGCGACATGAATAAGTAATGATTCCAGGCAAGAGCCGATTCTTGGAAGCAAGTTGCGCGTGGCTTAGACGCTGTACACCATGTACGGGTTGCCACCTGTTCTTAGGTTTTCCAGGATCGTCCTGTTATTGAGACAGCTGCTGTCCCGGGATATCTGAAAGTCTTCCCGGAACATTAAACTCCCGTTTTTTTGTCAGTTGCGTAATAAAAATAGTAATGCACCGCTCTCAACGTTGCATTTACACTACACGCAAGTTCTCCCCCTATTCTGCTTTTGTCAGATACTTCTTGCCGCGACGTGTGCCGCTTATTTTGTACTTCGGAGGTGGCAATCCCTACGCTACGCCGGGATCCCCAGTGGGAGCCTGTGAGGTTTCCTGTTCACTTCCTAACTCAGCGGGGCGTGACTTGGGTGGAGAAGCGCGGTTGGCACGGTTGGCACGGTTGGCACGGTTGGCATGGGCTCTGCTGCAAGGAATGAAGCGGGGGCCCCCTGTCCGATCTCCTCCCCTCTCCGTAGCCCCTGGTCCCTGGGGCCCCTTCAGGCCCGTGGGCCTCGGTGCAGTTGCACCACCTGCACTCTCGGTAGCCACGCTGCTACCGCGACGCCAAAGGCGGTAGTGGCGAGGGTGGCAACAACTTTCACTGACAATCCAGCAACAGGGAGGGCAATCGCATGTCCTAAGATGGCACATGCTGATCCATGAACAGATATCTTACTAAAATAGTGAGTATTTGCAGAGGACAACTATATTGAATTCAAAGCCTCTACACGTCTGCCTCCAATCTCGATGCGACTTATTATAATCTTTAACAGAGTTGCATTCATAAATCGATCACCTATTTAGAAGTTACCCAGGGGTCAACTCGAAAAAATCAGCAGGGCATCTATAAATGGATCGCCCTCAATTTCTCACGCTCTACTTTTTACATGTTAATCATCTTTGTTTACCCAGGAAAGGCAAGAAAATAGTGGCCATGCACTAATTAGAGCAATTAAACAAGGAAGTTGTTATTCTATGTGTGTCTGCGGTCACCCTTGAGTGCGCATATGCTTGCTG